TGTGGTTTAATGTTGCACCTTGTCCTTTGTGGCTATTGGTTTATATCTCGTGTAGAAGGTCCTCTCCTCCCCAAGATTGTGTCCGTATTCTCCTAGATGTTTTTAGTACATTCTTTCCTAGTGTGTACTTTTTCTGTTTAGCTACACTTTATTTTGTTATGACTTAAGAATCTACCAATATCTTTGCTGAAATTTACAATTTTCCCAATGACAGTTATTAAATTTTCCGCATAGTAAACATATTTTGTCATTAGCACTCCTTCCTGATGATTTCATCTCTGCCCCAACTCCATTCCCTAGTGTGGGAGCCATCTTGACTCTCTGCCTCTGTGGCTATAAGGATGACCGTATAATTAAAGAATATTAAGAAAGGAGGTCTTTATTCTCTTATATCAAGAGCTAGCAGTAGTCATCTTCCTACCAAATGAAGAGATAATGCCTATGAGGGCCATCCATGCCTGTCTCTCAAAGCTCTGAGTTAAATGCACCAATACACTTCTTTTTGTTTTTCATTAAGTATATTTTTTCTAAAGCTAACATGGTAAAATGGATGGATATCTTTAAAGTTAAATGTATATATTACATGTGAGAGTAGATCATATGTAACTGTTAACCCATTATTGGAGTAAGGAGTGAAGGAAGGAGAGAGCAACTGTAAACTAGTACTTAGATGTACAGATTAATATGAGGGTACAAACCATTAGATTACATTGTTTGTTAGGAAAAGTCCCTGTTGTAGTTGTGCCCCTCACCCAGGAGCTGTGCCATGTACCCTCAGGTGAGAGCATGCCGATCTCCCTCCCACTTTCCCTCTATTCCCACCTTACTCCTCCCTTCCCCCAACTTGAATTTAATTGAGTTTCTCTCTTGTGTGGATGTGTATTTGTTCATTTACTGGTTTCAAATTAGTATTGAGTACACTGGATACTTGCTTTTCCATTCTTGTGATAACTTTACTGAGGAGAATGTTTTCCAACTCCATCTAGGTTAATACAAAAGATGTAAAGTTTCCACCTTTTTATTGGCTGAATAGTATTCCATGGTAGACATATACCACAGTTTATTAATCCATTCTTGGATTGATGGACACTTGGGTTGATACCACATCTTAACGATTGTGAATTGAGCTGTGATAAAAATTCTAGTGCAAATATCCTTATGGTAAAATGATTTTTTTTCTTCTGAGTAGATACCTAGTAATGAGATTGTGGGATCAAATAGAAGGTCTATGTTGAGTTCTTTAAGGATTCGCCATACTTTTTTCCATAAAGGCTGAATTAGTTTGTAATCCCACTAATAATGTAAAAGTGTTCCCTTTTCTTCACATTTGTGCCAGCAATCTGCAACTTTGGGACTTTGTGATGTGGACTATTTTCACTGGGGTTAGGTGACATCTCAAGGTGGTTTGGAGTTTTTTTGTTTGTTTGTTTTTTGAGACAGAGTCTCAGTCTGTCAACCTTGGTAGAGTGCTGCAGCATCTAGCTCACAGCAACCTCAAACTCTTGGGCTCAAGAGTTTGGACTATTTTCACTGGGGTTAGGTGACATCTCAAGGTGGTTTGGAGTTTTTGTTTGTTTGGTTTTTGAAACAGAGTCTCACTTGGTCACCCTTGGTAGAGTGCTGCAGCATCTACCTCAGCACCTGCAGCATCTCGCTCACAGCAACCTCAAACTCTTGGGCTCAAGTGATCCCCTTGCCTCACCCTCCCAAGTAGGTGGGACTATAGGCACCCACCACAATGCCTGGCTATTTTTAGAGATGGAGTCTTGCTCTGCCTCAGGCCGGTCTTGAACTCATGAGCTCAGGTGAACCACCTGCTCTTTTTTTTATTGATTAAGTTGAGTTCTCTATAGATTCTGGTTATCAAGCCTTTGTCAGATTAGTAACATGCAATTATCTTTCCCATTCTGAAAAGAGTCTCAAGCTATTGCCCAGTATTATAGCATTACAGCTCACAGCAACCTCCAACTCTTGGGCTTAAATGATTCTCCTGCTTCTGCCTCCCAAGTAGCTGGGACTACAGGCACCCGCCACAACACCCAGCTATTTTTGTTGTTGTTGCAGTTGTCATTGTTGTTTTAGCTGGCCTAGGCTGGATTTGAACCTGCCAGCCTCAGTGTTTGTGGCTGGCACCTTAGCCACTGAGCTACAGGAGCCTCCAAATGTCTATTTGCTTTAATTATTATCTTTGGTTGTGCCGAAGCTTTTTAGCTTACTTAAGTTCCATTTATTTATTTTTATTGATGTTGCAATTGCCAAAGATTTCTTCACAAAATCTTTCCCAGGCTGATATCACTAAGAGTTTTTCCCACACTTTCTTCTAGGAGCTTTATCATTCCATATCTTAGATTTAAATTTTTTATCCATTGTGAGTCAATTTTTGTAAGTGGTTAGAGGTGCAGGTCCAGTTTCAGTCTTTTACAGTTGTTAGTTCTTTTTGATTCTTCACTTACATGCACTGATTTTCCTCATATGTCTGGTGAATTTTGTTAATTTTATGTTTGTAAATGGAGGAGTATGTTGATTGTATAGATACGCTCTGTGTAAGTGCCAGGCTTCCCTGGAGATGGAAGAGGACAGCCAAGACGGATGAGGACCTTACATTTCTAAAGAACCAGCATGTTTCTGGATGGAACTTCCTTTCCTTTCACTATCTGATGTAGAAGTGTGAGTTTCAGCAAGCTCTACTATGCTTCTCCATCAAGGCCTGAAACTTATTTGAGATCTCTACCCAGGCAGATGCCAGGGTTTCCTTAGAGAATAGTTTTTTTGGTGTTTGGGTGAGTCACTGGGGAAACACAAGTGGTTATGCTCTATGTGCACAGAGAAAGAGTGGTAATGAAGAAGGGCCCAAGTGACTCAGCTCTTCCAAATGCTTCTCTTTTAACTAGTAAGTATGAAAATTACCCCATGATAAGATTCTCTTTATATATACCAACTTTGAATTTATTGCTTCTCAGGCCTACCTAATTTCTAATGTTTAAAGCTGGTTTTCCTGATTGGATTTTTCCATTAAGTCAATTCTGTCTCCTTTCATAGTTTCTGAATGTTCATAAACTTTCTGGATCCTGGGATCTCACCTTACTGATTTCCAGTATTGCCACTGGTATTTTCTTTTTGAAATAACATTTTCTGTGACTATACTAGAACCTTAGGAGGTAGGAGAGTAAACCCACGTGTGAATACCATCCTGAAGCTCCTGTGTTGGTTTACTGCAGCGCCTTTTCCTAGCTTCCTAAGACGTCTAGTTAGAGCATCTCCCCTGCCTCACCCCCGATATAACTATACTGAAGATTTTTATTTAAAAAGTATTATATGGTTATCTAATCAATTATAAAAACTTTGAATAAAAATTAACAGTGCCCTCCCTCTTCTCCTTCAGAAATACTCCCTTGAAAAAATAATGTTAGCATTTTGAATCCATTCATGCATTTTTCCATGCTTCTATTAGGGGCTAGTATTTGTGTTGCTTTTTACCAAAATGGAGTCATATTTTCTACTGTTGGTTCTTCTACTTCTTTATCATACATGTTTCATTTATTTTTATTTTTTAGCTTCTATTATATTTCTTTAAAGCCATGAACTTTCCAATGTTAGGATTTAAACTGGTTTTAAGGGAGATTTGGGGAAATTCAAGAAAAGAAAAACAAAATGAACAAGAAAAAGTATGGAAGTACAACATGTATTTCAAGAACAGTGTTAGACACACTCAGCTGAAGAAGAGATCTATACTGGGGAATGTTCAGAAATTTGCAGAGATAATTTAGTCAGTATGTAAGGGCAATGAACAACAGCAAAAGTAGGAAGATACTGAAGATTTAGGAATTAGGGTCACGTTGTTAACTGCTTAGTAACCTTAAAATAATCCAAAGTATCTCTGTTAAAAATATCACTTATTGAATTGTTGTTTTAATTAATTTGACATACAATAGACCCTCTACAGACTAAAGGACATATATGTATAGGAAAATGGTTCAAAGTACTGAGTGTTGTATTAAGAGATGATGTTGCATTTTCTCTGTATGAGTTGGTAATGTGAACGCACATTATCCATCTTCTAAAGCCACTCAGTCTCCCTTTCTGCTGTCTTGGTTGTGTGTGGTGGAATGAGCATCTGATAAAAACTCAGGACACCTAGGATTTAGGCGAGGTTACTTGGGGCAAGGAATTTCAGCTTGTGTAAATTAGGAACTAAACTGGATCATTTCTAAAAATGCAGTGAATCTGTGATTCTATAATTGTTCCTATATGTCTTGATTTAGCACCAATTTTTTAAAGCCTTTTCTTGTTTTTGGAGACAGGGTCTTGCTTTGTCACCCAGGCTAGAGGGCAGTGGAATCATCATAGCTCACTGCAACCTCAAATTCCTGCGCTCAAGCAATCCTCCTTTCTCAGCCTTCCAAGTAACTGGGACCACAGGTGCATGCCACAACACCCAGCTAATTTTTTATTTTTTGTAAAGACAAGGTCTCACACCTGCCCAGGGTGGTCTTGAACTCCTGGCCCCAAACAATCCTCCCATCTCAGCCTCTCAAAGTGCTAGAATTATAGGCAGGAGCCATGGCACTCACCCAGGCAGTTTTAAGTACTATGGAACAATGTCAGGTTTGCAGTCATTGAAAATGCTATTTCAATATAATATCACCTGTCATTTATCATCTGAAAGCATTATACAACCTTTTAAAGTCAGATTACATTTGTTCTGACAATTTTATTTCACACCTGCTTTTTTCTCTCTACTTGAAGTTGCTGTGTATTATTTTGACTTTACAAATTCAAAAGGGTGAATATTGAAATACCAAGGAAGCTATTTTTATGTATGTATTCTATGCACACATACACATACATATGTATACACATATTTCTTTGATAATTGGCAAAGTATAATATTTATGAGAAAAATATTTTATTTAGGTTTTAACTTTTATTGAAAGAATAAAATCTTGGGAAATATCCTTGCATTATAAGTAGTCTAAAATTAAAACTTCTTTTTTTATAAGGTGGCTTTTTCACCAAAAGAAAGAAATTCATCATCTTTCAGACCAGAATATATAGAATTCAAACCAAAATTTCAGGTGAGTCCTATGTTATCTGATCCCAATGTCAATTATAATTACTAGGTTTCTTTAATACTTAATGTAATTTAATATTCTGAAACCAGGTGACTCATTAGAAACACCTCCCTACCTTAAAAAAAAAATACGTATGTGTAGGTCCATTTCTCACCTAATGAATCTCAACCTGGAAACAGAAGTTGGGAATCTGTATTTCTAAAAAAAAAAAAAAACAGGAAATTCTTAATCTGTCCCCTGGGGACACACCAGACTTTACAAACCAATTATAATTAGTTGTATACGTTATAATGAACATTGAACTACTAAGGTGAAATAAAATAAAACAAATAGTGAGCGGATTTTTCCACATTTTTCTTTTTCAGTTGGATAATCAGGATTTCTATGATCAAAGGGTTTAAATAAGAAACTTCATTTTGATGGCTGATTCAATGATAGAATAGCCTGATCTCAGAGCTACAAAACTGTCTCTCAATATTATAGTGAAATTTCACCATAGTCCCAAGTGTTTAATACTGTTCTCCCTTAACTATTTCTGAGATATTACATAGTATGCATCAAAAAGCAGGATTCTACTGTGACGTTTGAAGGCCTGGGTGGAGCTCATCTCCATGGTTGGAACTCTCAGACTTAATGGCAGATGATATATGCCCCTGAGTCAGAATTTAGAGAATATTTATGATACTTTTCATAGGATATCCTTTGTTTGCCTAATTAAAAAAATTCTACATTGCTACTAAAATGGTAAATATGTAAAGGGATAAGTTGCTTTCTACCTTTGTGGAAGGTAGGAGCGTAAATAGCTAAATTGACAGATTGCTCAAAGAAAATTAACTAGACAATTTATTATAAATTCAAAGTCAATACTACAAGAATGTCTTATCTTTTTTTAATATTGCAATTTCAGAAATTCATCAAGGACGGTTTTGATCCTTTTCTAAGGAATATAGACCAAAAAATGTCAGTCAGAATAAAGACAGACCAAGATATATACAAATACAGAAACATTTTAAGTACAGAGGTTATAGAACATGAAGACCAAGATCCTCCTTATCCATCACGATCAAAGATTGCAGGACCTACTACTGGTAAAACCTGGAGCTATGACCCTAATAGCTTCACAGGAAAGACGTTTTCGGACACTAAAAATAATTTCGCTCATGATCCCACTGTCAACACTGAAAAGGCTTTAGAAACTAAGACCGAGTTAGCCCAGGATCCTACTATCAACACAGTAAAAGCTTTGGACATGAAGAATAAATTAACTTATGATCCTGCTAACAACACAACAAAGATTTTAGGTTCTAAGAATAAAGTTAAAGAAAATCTACCAAATATAGGTTTGCCATGTTTCAAAGGAGAATCATCAGTGACCGGAAATGGATATACATGTCGTCTGTCAAAGTCATTAAGTCTCACCTCCCATATAGAAAATCTAAAACAATCAATGCTACTCAAGTCAATTTTAAGTAAAAATCTGCAAGACCTCTCAGACAAATTATTTTCTAAACCAGAACTTGGTATGAACACTGAAGCAAGAAAGAAAAGTAATTCTCCACTTCTAAGCATTCATGATAAACCATCAAATAGTAGGGAAGACAGGGCTTTGGACAGAACTCAAGATTTAAACAGCCAGATTTCAGAAAAGGACATTTTAAATTCAAAGATTCTTTTAAGTCAATTAATTAAAAATATTCCTGCAGGTTCACTTTCAGAAGGTGGACCAGAAAAATCTCTAGAAGAACGTGTCTCTGAAAAACACTCAGAGGCTGGTATGATAGATTTTGCAGTGAAAAAAAAGAGTAGTTTCAAAAAGAAACATTTAATAAGTGAAACTCCTAGCCCCAAATCAGGTTTAAGTGGCAATGTACATGACTCTTTTATAAACCAAATATTCACTGCACCAAGCTTCTTAACATTGGAGACAAGTCAGTTATCCACACCTCTGGGGAGAAGTTCATCTTCACATACTCCAATTTACAATGAAACTACTGATGATGATATAGACTTGCCACATGCCCAATCTATTATAAGTCAGATAATACAAGCATTTCCTGTAAATACTCTTTTAGAATCTGGGATCATCAAAGTGATAGAATTAGATGAAGAACAACGGAAGAGTACTTCGCTGAGTACAGAGATAGCCATTCCAGAAGAAAAGCTGAAGAATTTTACAAAAGATTATCCAGAAATCAAAAGCAAAACAGAACTTCTTTCAGAGCAGACTATATCCATCATTTCCAAAGATACCCCTTCTTCTGTTAATATAGTTGAACTTCCAGAGGAGAGCCAAAACATAACTCCAAGGGATTCAAGACATCATTCAATATCAGAAAAAGAAACAAGTTTGCCAAGTCGTAGTCAGTGGCTTGATAGAGAAGAAAATGATCTAAGTTCTACTTTAGGAAATTTAGCTAACTCATTAATGGGTAGTAAACTGTCAGATGAAACGAAGTTAAAATCCTTTTTGAAAAATGTCATTAATAGTTTTTTCGAATATAATCAGTCTGAAAGAATAAAACAACCCGAAAAAGAATTAGAAAGACTAATTGAACAATCTTTTCCAGATGATGCAGAAATCCAAGAGAATAGTGATGAAACAGACAAACTAGACAGAACATCTATTTTGGGTTCAAAGCTGCGCGGGTTTCTAGAAGAACTCTCAGAGTCAGAAGTGAAAAATTTTAAATCCGAGTTAAGTAAACAAATTCAACATTACCTTGTAGAAAGACTTTCAGAATCAGGACATATTACTAGGGAAGACTTACCAAAAATCTATCAAAATTTGTATGTAATGAATGAGAAAGCAGAACCAAAAGGACAAAACATTTTTCAGGAGAAATATTCAGAAACTATAAAAGAAATCATGTCTTTTGGAAGCAATTTTAATCATAATTTCATAGATAAACATTTAGAAATAAAGCTAAGATCTTTTTTAAATGAAATTCTCCAAAGCTATTTTCTAAGAAACCTTTCAGAAAGCAATTTATTTAATGAGAAAGAATCTGAGACTATACATTCAAGCATATCTTCTCTAAAATCTAAAAGTTCCTCAGTGTCTTTTCATGAGTTAGGACAAGATAATTCAAAGGGGGGGTTTGGTAGAAGGCTTGAAATAAACATGAAATATCCTTTAAGTAAATCTCTACAAAACTATCTGTTAGCTTTATCAGAAAATGAATTGTTAAATGTGAAAGATGAGTTGAGTAAACACCTCCAGAGCCTTTTTATAGAAAAACTTACAAAATCAGGACTAATGACAGAAAGGCACTTAAAGGGGGTTGATCAGCATATAAATTTGCTTAATTCCAATTATACACCATTAAAATATGTAAAGATAGATTCACCTTTTAAAGATGAAAATCACTCTATAGAGGACCATTCAGCAAGCCAAAATAAATATCCAAAAATTGATCAAGAAACTGCCTTACAAAAGGTTCCTGAGAATAAATTGAAAGAAACAGAAGTGATCGAAGAGGAAGAAAAGGAATATTTTCCTTTACACAGTTTAAAAGACAATTCATCAATAATTAAGGAACAGAAAAGTTATCAACCTAAAGAAGAAGCTAAAACAATAAGTTATATAAAAATACAATCCATTTCTAACAAAAATATCCAGGCAATTTCGTTAACTAAATCATCAGAAAGACCTACAGATACAGTGTTTAAGAAACAAAGGAAAGAACGTGGTATCTTGCAGCTTCCTCAAGCAGAAAATTCTATTAGTATAACAGAGATTCAAGACCCACATAATTGGGGTAGTAAATCAAAAACAACCCAATCAAAAGTTAGCTTCGAAAGGACACTGAAGCCACTTGAAAAAAAGGATCATAGTAACATCTATAAATCAACTGGTGAGGAAAAACCTGATGCAATGTTGTCATATCCAAGAATCCCTCTTTGCAAAATGCCAAGGGAAGACGAAGAATCCTTAAACAGACTCACTCTCCCTTCTTGGCAGACCAATACTTTAGTTCACTTTAATTCAGAGGCTGGGGAGAAATCAAATTGTCAGAGATTGAAAGGATATAACAACAATAATAAAAAACATCTAGTAACATTTGCGCCATATAAACAAGAAATACAAACTCATTACATAAAATCAAATGACATTTTCAATGAAAAATATGCCAAATTCTCTGAATCACAATTGTTCAAATATAAAGCTATAGAAGATAAGAAAAACTCCAAATCATTCCTCTTCCCAGAAGTATCGAAGAGAGAAAATTCAAAACCCAAGGTCCAAAAAGAAAGAGTCCATGTTGCCAAATCAAAAAAGTCATTTAACAAGATAGCAAAGATCCTACCAAGCACACTGCCTGCGACGAAAAGTCATCTAAAGAAATCTGTTTCAAGGACATTGCCTCACTGGACTGCAAGAAAAACTATACATGTAATAATGTTTTTCTAAATGTTCTACTTCTGTATTTGGCAAAGTTCTGTAAATAATTTACTTTAGGGTGTATTATGTCTGCATGCAAGTGTGTGTGACCTTAATTGCTCCCAAGGAATATAGACCTCCAAATCAAAAAATTCTCCTGAAATTTAAATATCACTTCATCTGACTTAAAATATAATGACGAAATGGTGGGGGGAAGAATGTTGACACACTTAGTACCTTTTAATGATGTAAATAAAGGGCACCCTTTCTGGGGCATGAATTACAAAAAGTGACAGACTTTTACTGTCAGAGTGCACAGCCCTTCCTATGGCAAAATGGCTGGATTTTAGCTCTGAGTAAAATTAGCTAGAGGTTGTTGTGAGACACAACTTTTACAACCACTGGCAATAGCCATGTTCTGTGGAAATGTAACTGGGATTTTCTTTTCATGAAGATATAACTATAAATATGTAGATTTTTTTCACACACCTGAATTATCTTTGCTTTATTAAATGAATACAAAGCTCCTACTATGTGCCAGCTATTCTGCTAAAAATTAGGGATATGTAAAATTTATCGTCTATTG